CACCGAAGATCCAGAAATTGCGTGAGTCTCACTCAGTTTCCAGTGACGGTGTTTGGCTTAATCCCGGCTGGTTAGATTGGATTATTATGTCGATCATTACCCTACAAGTGATTCCCGTAACTCAAAGGTCTGGTATCCAAGATCCCAAGGATTAGGCGGCTCTGCAATGTATGTCATAGTGACTGTTGGCGAACCATATGCTGATCGCGAGTTCATAGCCACAATGCTCTGATTAACCAGTAAGTCCTTGCGTTGATCCTATATGCTCATTGATCATAATCCCCCGTAGGATCCCTCATAAGTGGGATTTCGAACAAATCAAGTCATTGTTTGGAGACGATAGCTGGAGCGCCGAGTGAGATTTGTTTATTAATCCTAGCTCATTTGCGATAATGATCCTAACTTTCGTACAGCAATATGCAGAAGCTTTATACACGGATCGAGAAAAACCTTTATATACCCCCAGATATCGGTACACCCTTGGGCCACGGTACGCTCTAAGTCACATAATCTTTTATGTTGTCTGAATTATTCTCGTCTTCAAGGCTATACCGGATGGTTAGAGACCCAAGCCCCTGCCACGGTCAGTTCAAAGGAAGCTTACTGCGAAACTGTATCTGACCTCATTTCATCTTCTTGAACTTACCTTTAGAATGTAAGTGGCGGTTTGTTGACGTTATCCTACATGCTAACTTTTTTATTGTACTTCATTAGCTAATTACCGATCCCCAATATGCCGATCAACAACTAGTTGATCTCATTTCTGGGGTACAGAATGCGTAAGTTATCTCAGTCTCGCGCAGATATGTCGTGTAACAAGTAGAATCCTCCAGTGTTCTTCCTGTGCCAGGAACTGATTGGACTACAACTCAAAATGATCTAGCTGAAGGTGGTGGTGTCGTCATTCTGACAAAGAATGCCAACAACACTCGCTCCAGTATCAGGTTTGTCATATGCGCCATATATGTTCTACATAACAGGCCTCCCATCTGATTTTCCTTGACACAGGGACCACCTTGTCAAATCTCAATCCTTCAACAAGAATGCTCTTGTTTTCCAACTATCCACCCTCGCTACGAAAATTTTGACGTGCAGGACATCCTCTGGGAGAGTTCGAGCTTATGGTGTCTCGGCGGCCGTGGGAGGCATCCTGCCTGTCTCTCGCAAGTTCACGGGAAAAAAAACACTGACGTTGACGAACTTCTATGCTAAGAACGAGGTACGTACGCAGACCTTCATATGGATTGTTGTATCATATTAACAATCAATATTCTCAGATCATTATCTCAGCTGGAGCTTATCAGACACCACAATTGCTGATGGTGAGTAATGTCATTTAGTTTGGGATGATTAGTGACACTTCTATAGCTCTCTGGAATTGGGGACCCAGCGCAACTCAAACAGTATTCGGTTCCATCACTAGTCAACCTTCCAGGCGTCGGTCAAAATTTGCAAGATAGGTGAGGGAACTCGTGCAAGTGACTGGATGGATTTGCTAATTTATTCCCAGACTTGAGATGACGATTGTTTGGCAGTTAAAAACACCCCATGTCATTTGGAAAGGATGCACATTTGGGCCCTCACCGGCAACTGACCCCTGCTTGTGAGAGTTCACTCACTACATTTACTTGCGGGCCGATAATGACAACGCTCAATCATATAGGGCGGCTTGGTACTCATCTGGGCACACAAATCTTTATCAAGCGGGTCCAGCCATCTATGCGCATTCGTACAAGAGCTCTCCCGACCTACCCTACAGAGGTAAGACAGTTGAAACAGATTTTATTTATTTTCAATCTGATGCATCATGAAAATAGACGTATGGTCAATGTTTGGACCAGGAAGTTTCCGGGGATACAAGCCCGGATGGTCCAACGAAATCGCAAACGTCAACAACGCATGGGTTGATGTCATCCTCAAAGCCCATACTGACGCCAAAGGTTATGTTAAGCTGACTGGTGAGTCATCTAGGCTTCGGCCTTTGCCACAGTACTAAAATTATTGGGGCAGGGAATCACATACAAGATCTACTCAACATCAACAAGAATCAGGGTCAGACAGATGGTTTCAAGAAGGTACGTTCAGGAACACCCGAGATCTAGCACTGCGCTTATACCTCGAAATGCTGCTTTTAGGATGTTGAAATAATCAAGGACGAGATTCTTCGCTCTCGGGCGCTTGTGGCAAACACCCCATCAATGAATCAACACATCGTTCAGGAGACTTGGCCGGGTCCTTCTGTTTCTACAGACGCCCAAATCAACAGCTTCATCGAAAAGAATGGCTGGGGACACCATAACTGCTGTACTTCAAAGATGGGTTTGGCTAAAGGTATCTAATCCACTCAACTAGTCATATGGTCTGATCTAACTGGAAAATGTCTTGACTCTTAGACAAATTGTCCGTAATCAACAATAATTTCCAAGTTTATGGCGTTGAGAATCTTCGAGTCGTTGATAATAGCGCGTGGCCTAATATTCCAGGTCTGTACATATTACTAGCTCCACTCATTGAGGTCTAACTCACATTTGTAATACTTCTCTTTTAGGCATGTTTGTGACTACGGTGAGTATCTCTCCCAACCTTTATTTGACACACGTGCTGAATCCAAATACATACGTTCCTAGCCAATCTACATTCTCAGCGAGAAAGCATCTGATGTTGTCAAGGCTTATGCAAAATCTCAGGGCTGGACACCTACGTATGCTGCAGTTGCTAAATGAGATGACATTGAGGATGGGCTTGCAATATAGCAGACCTAGAGGAGATAGGATCTGCATTATATATTTATTCAACCACTACATAAAACATCCTAATGAAATAAATCCCCTGAATTATCGTACATCTCCGCGTATAACAAACCGCACCCCAATTGTCAGGTCCAGATACCAGATTCATCGACATGGCATTTTTCCCACTTGAACACTCCCTTACCAACTATGTTGGCTATTTCGACACCAATGTTTTGCTCAGGATGAGTGTTTGGATCAATTGTCCACAGGTAGCATGAGATTTCGAGCTCGCTCAACACCGAGACATGCGTCCCACAGCGTTGTTGGTAGCGTGCTCTCACGAATGCCAATATTTCCTTCAATTCGTACATTATACCACAGAGACTAAACACCCTCAAGCGTGGACACCGCCATTCGAGTTCTTCCTCCTGGTCGGAAGATCCTGGAGGAAGCGACAGAAGTTCCATAATTATCTTGGGCCAGGAAGGCGCTTCCATTATGTGCAGGACCTCTAGCTTAGGCAATCCCTCCAACAGCTGCTGGGGAGTGTAATCTTCGAAGTCTGTTTCGGCCGCTGAGCTGATCAGCAAAGTTCGAAGATTCTTGAGAGCTGGACTTGAGACAAGGGACGGGACCAAGAGGAGGGGAGATTGGAGAGATTCGAAGTAACAGTAAAAATGCAGAGTTGGGCCATCTGAACCCTTATAAAATGCAGAAAGCCGCGCCTCTTGGCCATATGTTCCAGACAACTCTATCGCGTCTGCCGATAAGTAGGTGCGCGAAACAATCGAGCTTTGTTGTAATGACCCAAAGGCCTCATCCAATGTTTGCTGCCATTCTTCAACGAGAAACATCGGAAAGCTGATGCCTACTGTTTTCGGTGTCGCTTTGACAGAGCTGAGAATTGATCCGACAGTCACGGGATGTATATTTGCGAATGTCAGTTCCTGAAGCCCTGGAAGAGATATCTCCACACGAAAGTCAGCACCTTCTGACTTTATGCAATCTTGGATCTGCCCTTGAAGATGAACCTCTTCAAGACCTGGGCACGACGTTAGCACACGAACATATTGATCGCTCGAGGGTGCTCTAGTACCATCCCATGCAGAAACTCGAAGGAAAGTCAATCCAGAAAGTATTGGACTATCCCAAGAGAGTGTGATGGGCAAGGCATCAAAGTGCCGAAGGTGCGGAGCATAGCCGTTGAAAAGATTAATGGGTGAAATACGAGTATGACGAAGACTATAATCTTTGACAGTGAACTCGTGCAGAAGCGGTGCTTCCGCTGAAGCTAATGTGCTCAGTGCTGACCCCAGTTCTGCTTTGAAATTGAACCACATTTTATTATCTGATTCAATTCCGTAGAGCATACTTTCCCAGCGGTGCATATGAGTGGCGACCATGCGTAGCATGTTCCCTTGGTCCTCAGGATACTTCATCGGATACATCTCGATGTGCAACGGGGCGTGTTTGGACTTCTTCAGTTGCAATTGTATCCACCGCTCTGAGTTGAACCTGCTGAGATGTGACCATAGGCCAGGTGTAGCTTCGACGACTTCGTAGAACCTCGATGACACGAGACGAAGGTTATGTAAATCGCGAAAGCAGCCTGGGTCACTCCGAGCAAGATTGAGGATATAGGACAAAATCTCGGTGGGCAGTTGGAAAAGGTTGCACACGAGCATATTGCGACGCCGGCGATATTGGACAACCAGCGCGCGAGTTTCTTGATAGAATGCAGCGGCCACCACTTCCAACCGCATTATTCTATTCTCGATCACCTGAATCTCTGTCTTCCCCTGCGAATTTGTACTTGTGACAACGTCAGCAGCCTGAGACTCAACAAATAACATTGACTCACCTTTCCAAAAAGTAATGAGGAACCTGTACACTATTCATTAATAGGTCAATCGCCGCAAACGTTGAACTTCGAGCTACTCCATTCATCTTGATTGTTTCCCCGAAACTGTAGATTGAGGGGCTCTGATTTGTGATCTATCTCGTGGTCTGGGGTGGTAGTGATTGCACGTTGTAGGAACGCAGCGCATAATCTACACTCACGTATCCACGTGATACCGAGATCTCGGAAAAACTCATTTGTTCAATGAATATGTGGCAAAGTACGCCGAGATGACAGGATAGAATGTCTAGACTCCGACGTCATTTGTGAGGCAAAGGGCAGACGCTGTTAAGCCATAACCAAAAAGTTACAACACCAGAAGCACCACCAGAAGCACATACCGAGTGAATGGATCTCGGGCAAAAAGCCTGCCCCGGTGAGACTCGAACTCACAACCTCCTGATACCGAAAACGGTTGGTATTCGTTAACAGTCAGACGCGCTAACCAATTGCGCCACAGGGCAACTAACTTACCGTTGTTAGCGTCGCTGCCATAAAAGGGTTATCAATCTTCACGTGATTGGACTGAACAATGCTTGGTATGACCATGATTGTATGGCAGGTGGGGATGAATCACAAATTGACCATAATCCACCAGAATGCAGGACATTCCATTAATTTTTCCTTGACCAGATAGCCTATCGGCTTTGATGGTGGAGATGCACATGGTCCTTCTTGAGACAGTATGCAATGGAATCACCCTGGCACACCAGCGTTACGAGCAGGCCAAAGGGAGGTGATATCGTCGATTTGCTGAATTAGAATGAAATCGGTGACGGATTTGTTTCCCCGAACTCTCTCGAGCGATAGTCTTCCGTTCTTATTTTTGGAGGTTTATTGTACTCACCTCCTTATCCAATTCATGCACGTTACCGATCAGGTGCTGCAGTTCGGGAGGATTTGCACAGTACTTCTCATTAGCACTCCGGGAGTCTTATTTTATCCCTATTGCGTTGCCCATAATTTCACGATTGAAATCACAGCTACATGCTTATGAGATATTATGTTATGATTCATGGGGAGGATTTGAAGTAACTGTAACTTGTATATGCTGAATTAATGTGCAATCTACTGTTGCGTCTGAGTAGCTTCTTCTGGTGTCCGGGTAGTTAACGAAAGAGCGTGCAAACCAAGTGAATTGAACTCTTCATTGAGAGCTCCGTATATCATCCGATGGCGCTGCATCATCCTCTGATCAAGGAGTAAATCAGAAACAATAACACGCATCTGTTGGGTTTTCCTACCTTCCCTTTGAACGCATCTGATACCACTTCTATTGAGAAATCTTCCGAAAGAGCGTTAATAGTCCTGGATTTAGGGAAAGCACAGTGACTCACGAGTTTCACCATTGCCTCCACCGGATTCCCTCATTGCTGCATGATGGCGATGCTGCCACGAATCGTTTGTTATCTTGAGAGTACTTGGTTGCAGTAGTTCATTCAACTTGAAGAAGCACGGTTAGAGTTCTTGCACATCTGTATATTCGGATTATGAAGGATGCATAACTCACTTTGTTGCGGATGGAATCCTCAACTGGTGTTGTCGACAATGAAGAAGCCATCCTGATGGATCTCACG